TTTATTGATTGTGCCTGCAATTAATGTACACTAGTACAATATAAAAAAAATCCATTCTGTTATTGTACTTTTGTAAACTAAACTTCCAACATATTATGCCGCTGTGTACATCAAATAATGGGGTAAAGGTTGGGAATGCCAAACAAAACACACAGAGAAATGTAACACAAGAGGAAAGGGGCTCTGCCTTAATGAGATTTCAGGCAAATTGATGGGAAGACAATGGACCTAATAGATGATGAATAGGGGAAAGAACAGAGTGGAAAGGCAGTTTTAAAGAGTTGGGCTTGAGAGAGCTTTAGATTGTTCAAAGTTGAATGTGTAGAAAATTGCAGAGATTTTGATGAAGGAAACCTTGCTTTGGCACATAGGATAAGGTAATGAGTGAGGACATTAGTTGGGTGAATGTTGGTAGTAGTATTTGGCGATTAAGTCAGAAATAAGTTTATTAGCTTATAAGTGTTGTAAAGTCAACATCCTATTATTTGGAATAGCCGTATTTTTCTTTTCCATTGAGGGACAAAAGAGGTCTTTAACCTTTTGGGCTATTCTGTCGGCTACAGGATGATTGGACATTGGCAAACAAAAGAACTGTAGGCCAGCCCAGGATAACCCCTCCTACTAACCAGCATGCCTTTTTAGTTGTTTTTTTGTTGGTGTCCTAGGATTCTCTGCTCTACTGTTATAAGGCTCACCTATTTTCTTTTTTGCTGGACACCGTTGTTCCCTATTTTCCTGTCTGCTCTGTCATGGACCGGGTTAATGTTGTGGGACTGAGCCCTGGCGTCATCCACTGGGTATAGTGTTGTGATGCTCTGTGTCTAACTCCACAGCGTGTCGAGGAAGCATCTCTCCCCTGCTCCTCATGCACAGAGCCCAGTGGAACTTCAACCTGCTACCCGCCTACAGTAACTTTGGTTACTTCCTGTCATTTGACCTTCCAGCCATTGACACTCACCAGCTGCCTGTGTTTTGGAAGTACTTGAGACCTTGTTGCTTTGTCTGTGCCTTGCCTCTCCCCTTTACAGTTGCAACATTTCTGATTTGAGACACTGGGAGGGGGGTGCTGGTTTGAACTGTGTGAAGTTGCAACATTCCCGATTGGAGACGCCTGTGGTTTGTACTGGGTGCCCTCAGCTCACTTTCTACTGATGGGCTGGAGTCATGTTATTCTCTGCTGTCTATCCTGTCTTTGGAGTCCTCTTTGGCTCCAGTGGGTATGATTGGAACCTCTGCCTTCTAGTTAGGAGGTTTTTTTTACTACATACATGCAGGTACTGGGTACTCTTGTCTGTATAGGGGACTTGGTTATTTGGGCAGTCTTGTCTACTGATTAAACATTTTAAAGCTTTGGAGAATTTGGCTGTCCAGTGTTGGACCAACCTGTTGTAGGGCTTTTTGGACAAAGTACCAGTGGTGGTGCACATCAAATGTCAGAGCGCAACGAGAAGTCTTGCTTTTGCAAGAGTGAATCTTGTCCTGGACAGAACTTCATGTTCAAGCCTTGTCAGCTGTGTATATTCCAGGCATGGACAATGGACAGGCAGACTTCCTCAGTGGACAGCATCTGGAGCAAGGAGGGGGGTCTGTATGCCAAAGGTGTTCCAGGACCTGTGTTGCAGGTAAAGGATGTTTCCGTGTGCACCTCCTGGCCTCCAGTTTTCACAGCAAACTGGATGAGTTTATTTACAGGCACAGGGGTCCTCTGGAAGGAGCTCTGGTGGCTCGGTGTGATCACTACACCCCAATATTGATCTTTCCTCCCTGACATTTCTTCCTCACCTGCTCCACAGGATCAGGATGGAGGGCAATACAGTTAATCCTCATTCTTCTGGATTAGCTCAGGAATATGGGGTGCACCAAAGGGTAAGGCTTCTAGCAGATGCATTGCGATTGGTGCCAGACTTTCCGCATTTACTGTCCCAAGGGCAAATTTGCCATGTTGCTGTTTTTAACACCATAGCTGTTAAATCCCGGGTTCTAAGGAACGGGCATGTCTGAGTCTGATTTCCTCAGATTCTTAAGGCTAAGAAGTCCACTTCCTGTGAGGTCTATAACTGGACATTAAAAAAAGGCTTTCTTTACTTGGTGGAAGTCTAGGAGCTTTAACCACAGGAGCTTCTCTGTGAGATGAATCCTCTCCTTCCTGCAGGTAAGTCCAGGGCAGCGTTTGACTCTCCACACCATCAAGGGTCAAGTCCCTGCCCTTTTCATTTTCTTTTAGACAATATTGATCTCTCACTCTGTGAATAAGACCTTTTGTGAAGTGTGTGTCCCATGTGGTTCTTTTGTGACTTCATGGGATCTGAATCTAGTTTTCTCCACACTTCAGAAGCCGCTGTTTGAACCCATTAGAGACATTCCCTCTTCTCTCACCCGCAAGGTATTTTGCTTTGTAGCTATTACTTCTGCAAGGCAAGTGGCTGAACTGGCTGCCTCATCTTGTAAAGAAATCTTTTTTGCATAGGGCAAGGTGGTGGGGAGGCCCAGGACTTCCTTCCTGCCTGTAGGTAGTCTGTCTGCTTCTTTCAAAACAACTGTTTCTATTTTTGTCATTCTGAATAGACCCCAAAAGGGGGCTCCCAGTTTTCAATGTTATAGTCTCAAGAATCTTAGTCTCAAGGATTGGGTACCTCCCTTTACCTTCAAGGTACAATCTACTAGATCTGTGAATGCTTCTTGGAATTTTCGGTATCAATCAACTGTATTCACGGGGCAGACTTGCAAACCTCGGAAAGCTGCGTCCACAGAAAACCATCTACCCCAAACCGCATGAAATTGTACACGATTACATGCGGACAGCAGCTGACAGATGCGGCCACTGTACCCATTCGGTAACGACGGGGAGACGGCGGGCCACACCTGAAGGGAGACACCTGCAACCTGAGATTCCTGCCACAAGTATTCGTAGGTTCTTGCTGCAGGAATCCAAGAACGCAGCGTAAGTCCCTGTGTGAATAGGGCCTTTAAGGGGTCAGTGAAACTTCCTTTTCTATAGTGTTTTACTTGTTCTCCGCCTTTTGACTCCCATTTTTAATTTACTGTGAATACTCGAGTATTGTAAGACTTCAGTACTGCTCATTGCAATTCCATTCAATTTGCTTCATTTCTTGTTTTGACAGAGAAAGTTACCCAAGCCATCTGAAGAGGAAGAAGAAAAGGAGAGTTCGCCAATAGAGGTGAAGAAGAAACAGCCCAGAGGTAATTTCCATGGGGGATAATAAATGTTCTGCACAGTGTAAAAGAAAATTGGGTATTCCCATACAATACTTTTAAGACTTGGTGGGATAGTTGCATATAGGTGTATGTGTGTGTGTGTGTGTGTGTGTATATATATATATATATATAAGAGACTTCAGGACTTATATAGCGCCAACAGTGTGCGCAGCGCTTTACAAAATAAGGAAGACATTACAATAAAATTCAGGACAAGATGGTAAGGATTACCATGAGGGCTTACAATCTAGGGCCCGGTTAACACCTGGGCGTTTTGTAGCACGTTCGAACGCTCTGCAAAACGATCAAACGCCGAAATCCCATTATTTCCTATGGGTATGGTTCACACCTGGGCGTATTACAGGCTGTATGAACGTCCTACGCCCAAAGAAGTACAGGAGCTTCTTTGGGGCGTCTTTGTCGCGCGTTTCCATTGGGATACAGCCAACTAGCCCTCGGAAACGCACGTTTGTCACGCGTTTTTTTACCGCAAATCGCGCGACAAACGCATATAGAGAGGGGGAAGTGATACATGAAGAGGTATTTGTGTGGGGATGAATTGTTTGAGAATGTGATGGTTCAGTGGTTAGGTTGAGGTGGGATATCTATATTTTTACTCTTTGGGTTGTCGTCATAGTAAACAGTGTACCTGTGCTGTGCCCTAGCAGGGCATAGATGGAGTTTCACTGAACTGCCCATCTACCAAGCTCTTTATCGCCTCTATTTGCTCCCCTGCAGTTCTGGTCACCTGTTGTAGAGAATGCCCTGTGTAAGCACCAAGAAGGTTCTGTCAGAGCTTACACAAGGTATTTCACTTACTCCTCACCTGCATGGGCAAAGTACATATGTAGCACATCCCATTATGTTGTGCGAAGTACTCTGTAGAATATGCACTGAATATGAATGCTGCAAAGTCTTGAAAGAGAACATTTCATCACATCTAATATACTGGATACTGTGTACTTTAGTCCCGATAGCAGATGTCTCCAGGTGTAAATATTGGTCTTTCTTGACAGCAGCACTTTTGGTCCCCTCAACACAAATGCTTACAAATAACACCTGAACAGTTTTGTCAATAAAGACAAATGAAAAAAATGTTAGTATGTTAGATATGATGATATGTTCATTTTGAGGAAACGGCTTAAAGTTGAATTCAAGCCAAAATTTGTTTTGGATATTAGAATAGGCTAGAACCCTATTTATTGCTGCTTCTCCGCTCCACCTAGTGGCCATAATGTGGTAGTTACTTTACAATACATTCTACCTGAATATAAAATATGCTAATAACATCGTTTTGCAAAGAATTAATGTACATGCAAATTGTTTATAAATACACCCCTAAGTGAGGGGAAATGTAGCCACTAGGTCACAAATGGGAATAAAAATCTGACAGGGGTTCTGAGCCATCCTCTATTTTCTCCAAACTTCAGTAGGGGAAAAAAAATATACACATGATCTGCAATAGTATTTACTTGGGGGACAGTTTATGAACAGACACTACAGTTTGCTTGTTTTTAAATCTTTTCCCTAAATATTTATCAAATATATTTTGAACAGGGCGCCCTGCAAAGTCTGTCACAAGTCCTCCAGAACCACCCGCAAGGGGACGGGGACGTGAACGAGTCCAAAAGAAATAGTATTGTTCGTTTTACATGTGCTTTTTATGTTTGTATGAAGAAAATATTGATGAATATATATCTTTTCAGAATAAACCTTTTAATGAATACTTCTGTGTTTTTTTAATTTATTAAATTACCTCAAAATGTATCCTTTTATTGTAATGTTCTACTTTGTGGAGGTTTATGGGATGCATTTGTGACTAAATGTATTCTTTGCACTCACATGTGTGAGTCTGGAGCATTGTGGTGGTTTTTCAATATCCTCTTTTCCGCACAGTGGCTGCCTACCAAAATTCTCCGCTTACATTAAAATGAATCCAAAACATAGTATTGTATGTCATGGTCTGTGAAGGCTTGATGCTAATGAAGATCACCAGCACTCAATGAATACTTGTAAATTCTTGTTTGTGCTTATTTTAAAATGTCACGTGCAAAAACCAACGTTTCGGGGCCACGCAGGATCCGTTCATCTCTGTCACCCTGATGAAAGGACCCTGCGTGGCCCCGAAAAGTTGTTTTTTTTGCGCGTGACGAACCTTTAAAATAATTACAAACAAGAATTTACAAGTATTCATCGAGTGCTGGTGATCTTTATTAGCATCAAGATTTGGTATTGCACGGCGCCATCCGTGATCATCACTGCGAGCACAACCATTTACTGTATGGTCCTAAACGCTGTAAGGAGTGCAGGGGATACATCTAGACAATGCTATGGTCTCTGAAGGGACATTTCATCTTTTGGTGACGGCTGTAACATTTTGGGTTTCCCATCCCTTTCTGTCCTGGCAAAAGTGGTCACCAAGACAAATGCAAATGAGCACACAGACGGCAATAAAAAAAAACCCCAATAAGGGTTTCCGCCATTTCTACTCTATCTAGAACTAAAAAAATGGAGCCTGCTATACTGTAGTTTTCTCCTGCAAGAACTGGTCTTTGGTATGGAAATTATGGTATATTGTGTGTGTGTGTGTGTTACCCGACATGACCCCGCCTTTTATATTTTACCAAGAAATTAAGTCATAATAAATGCTTTAGAATTTAATATAGGGGAAACAGTTTTGATTTTAAAAATTTTCTGTAATTTTTCCTTTATATATTAAAAAATTAAAAACCCCATTGGTGATTCAATGCCACCAAAAGAAAGCTCTATCTGTCCCTAAAAAAATGGTCTAAAATTCATTTCAGTACAGCGTTGCATGACGGAATAAATGTCAGCTAATTACTGAAAAATGGCCTGGACAGGAAGGGGGTTCAACACCGCGGACTTCAAGTGGTTAAAGGATTGCCCATGTAGTTATGTTATCTGTAGATTCAATCTTCCCCCCAAATGAAAACGCACAGAGTTCATGCAGTGTCATATTTTTTTTGAGAGCCCGGAAGGAGTGCGCACCGGTGCATTTCCTGTGCACCTCCCTGTATTCCTGTGCCCGTTCTTGGCACATTGTAAGAGAGCTGCCTTTAGACTGCATTTACAGCTCTTGATGGCTCCAGTTGTGTGTAAATATTAGAAAACAGCAGGGTAATACATTCCAAGAATCACTTGAGTAGTGCTGCAAAGACAAGTGTCCTTACTGGTATTGTAGTCATACTCCCAGGATCCCCTGCTGTTTCTAATCAGTGCGCACAGCCGTGAAAAAACTGGACTGACATTTACAGGCACAGCAGGGAGATACTTGACTAGGGAATGTTAAAGATTCTACTACCTGCGTTTCAAAGTGGCCACTGTATATGATAAATCTTCACAGGGGGACTAGTCTGCGCTTCCTCTGATCGCTTAATGAGGATATCGATAATGAAGCAGAGTCCCCACACTCCCACACAACCTCTCGTACGTTTAGGTAAGGGAAATGTATGCTTCTTATGTCCCCGCTTAGGACTAATTGGAAATCCCTTAACAAGTCTTCCATTCTTCTAGTAAAGAAAGATACCATATCATTTTCTATGAGCGCATATGCATTCGCCTTATCTGTTATGTCTGCCGTCCTTTGAATTTTCTCACTCTGCACTGCTCTCATTAAAAAAAGGCGTGTGTATAATAATACATTATATATATATATATATATAGCAATATAAATGGGTAAGCTGTATTAGTCCAGTAGACAAGACGTCAAAAAAACCAAAAATGTAGTATTGCAGTGTGTCCAGAGTGGACCTCTCTTCAGGTCAGAAGCAATATATATCGCACGCACGCATGCGAACTTTAATGGCATCCCAGTCTTAGTCCGTAGGGATCAATATTTACTTGGCCCGCCCTTTGCCGCTATAACAGCTTCAACTCTTCTGGGAAGGCGTCCACAAGGTTTAGGAGTGTGTCTATGGGAATGTTGGACCGTTTGTGAGGTCAGGTAATGATGTTGGACGAGAAGGCCGGGCTCGCAGTCTCCGCTCTGATTCATCCCAAAGGTGTTCTATCGGGATGAGGTCAGGACTCTGTGCAGCCCAGTCAAGTTCCCCCCCCAAACTCGCTCATCCATGTCTTTGTGGACCTTGCTTTGTGCACTGGTGCGCAGTCATGTTGGAACAGGAAGGGGCCATTTCCAAACTGTTACCCCAAAGTTGGGAGCATGAAATTGTCCAAAATGTCTTAGTATGCTGATGCCTTAAGAGTTCCCTTCACTGGAACTAAGGGGCCAAGCCCAACCCCTGAAAAACAACCACACACCATAATCCCCCCTCCCCCTTGGCACAATGCAGTCAGGCAAGTACCGTTCTCCTGGCAACCGCCAAACCCAGACACGTCCATCGGATTGCCAGACAGAAGCGTGATTTGTCACTCCGGAGAACACGTCTCCACTTCTCTAGAGTCCAGTGGCGGCGTGCTTTACACCAAGGCATCCCACGCTTTGCATTTGGCGATGTCAGGCTTGGATGCAGCTGCTCGGCCATGGAAACCCATTCCATGAAGCTCTCTACGCACTGTTGTTGTGCCAATCTGAAGGCCACATGGAGTTTGGAGGTCTGTAGCTATATACTCTGCAGACAGTTGCTGCACTGCCCACTGTGTGCTTCAGCATGCGCTGACCTCGCTCTGTCACTTTACGTGGCCTACCACTTTGTGGCTGAGTTGCTGTTGTTCCCAGTTGCTTCCACTTTGTTATAATACCACTAAAAGGTGACCGTGGAATATTTAGTAGCAAGGAAATGTCACGGAACACCTGAATCCAATGATTGGAGGGGTGTGCCAATACTTTTGGCAATATTGTGTGTGTGTATATATGTATATATGTATATATATATATATATATTTC